TCACCCAGGAACTGCCCCACATTGGCAGAAGGGCTTCGGATCCTTGGTTGGTGCCACACGAAAACGGGGCTGAGTCCCATGGTGAGAGGTCACTGGTGGTCAGGGCTTCAGCAACATTTTCTGGAAAGGCTGGCAGACTTTCCCCTCTTCCTCCTCTTTAGTGTGCACAGGGAGGGAAGACACATACCAGGCCAAATCAGGCCAACCTGAGTGTACGTCTATCATCACAACAGGATGGGTAATGCTAGTACAGATACATAACGAAGTATTCAGAGTATATAGTCTGATATATTTCTCATGCTGGACAACAGAATAACTTCATCACATCATCAGCATCCACATGCTGCTGCCGCTGTGGCCAGCCTCAGCGCTGTCCCCTCTGGCACGGGCTGCTCCAGCGTCACATCCTGGGGTGGCTGCATCAGCAGGGAAGAGCTTCTTGGGGTGGGTCCCCTACACCATCCAAGACCCCAATGCATAACCGCTTATTCGTTGCTATGTGTGATGTTGGCATGCCGCAGGGGACTGTCTGCTGGCAGCATGATGATGTAGTCTCTCTTCACACAGAGCCTTTCAGGGACTCTAATCGTTTTCACTTCCTGACTTGGAAATCTCCCCATATCCGCTACATCTTTATGGAGTAGGGTGTCTATTCTTCACCCTCCCCCCCTCACTGGATTTTCCCTTCTAGCTCCCGCTCTGCCACACCAGAAAGTTAATTGACACCCCTTCCTTCCAGGCTGGTAAATTTCTGCCTTCTGCTTGCATCCTGCCCCTCCCCCTGCCGCGATTTGCCCCCTGAACTCCTTTTTAATGACTGTAAAGAGCTGGGAGCAGTGTCTGAAGCCACATAAGGGCAGAACAAGGGCAGCAGCTCTTACGGAGCATGCTCAGTTCCAGTGCTCCTGCGCAGTAAGCCCTAGGTATGAAATTCTGAAAGGCCATTGTTTCCAATGCTACAGTGGTGCTAATCGAGACTCTCAAAAATTCTCTCTCCTGCCAGTGCAAAAAGGGTGGGCCTTCAGCATCGGGCTTTTTTTCCCCACTATTAATCGAGAACTAGGAAAGAAAATAATCTACGTCATTTCAAATGTAGTAAAGCATTTAATACACACTCAGGCCCACAATCCTATCCACTATTAGGATAGTCTTCAAGGTTCCCACTAATCTTTCCCTTCCATGGGTGGATTTTTTCCAACCATGTGTGGAATTAATTTTTTAGGTGCACTATGGCATGCATGAATGTGCATCACCAGTAGAAACAATCTAGCTGTGGGCACTCTGCTACTCAGCTGGGTGGAATCTGACTCTCTCCTGAGGGGTCACACAAGCATCCAGCTTACAGGGAACACTGGGGCTGTGTCTAGACTGGCAAGTTTTTCCAGAAAATCAGCCACTTTTCCGGAAAAACTTGCCAGCTGTCTACAGTGGCCGCTTGAATTTCCGCAAAAGCACTGATGATCTCATGTAAGATTGTTAGTGTTCTTGCGGAAATACTATGCTGCTCCTGTTCGGGCAAAAGTCCTTTTGTGCAAAAGGGCCAGTGTAGACAGCTCAGATTTGTTTTCCGCAAAAAAGCCCCGATCGCGAAAATGGCGATCGGGGTTTTTTTGCGGAAAAGCGTGTCTAGATTGGCACGGACACTTTTCCGCAAAAAGTGCTTTTGCAGAAAAGCGTCTGTGCCAATCTAGATGCTCTGTTCCAAAAATGCTTTTAACGGAAAACTTTTCCTTTAAAAACATTTCCGGAAAATCATGCCAGTCTAGACGTAGCCTGGTGGTATCCCCAAAGGGATTTACAAGGAACCTACCTTGCAGCAAAAAGCAAACCTGTGGCAGCCAGTCTCAGAGCCTGGGTCAGTTTGACTTGATCTAGCAGTTTAGACAGTAGAATTTGGGCTGAACTATAGTCTCTCTCACTCTGTATCCCACTGACTTGTAAGTATTTATCCACCCTGGGACAGTCATTGGGCTACAGAGTGAGGATGACTCTGTAGTCCAATAGTTAGGACAGGTGGTGAGAGATTCCAAGGCCAGGCCTGGCCCCCTGCTCCAATCACTGTTTCATTATTGATTTGCCACAGGGCTGTCAATTAATGTGTGTTAACACCTGTGTTTAATGCAGAGCACAATTAACACTTAATTTTTTGTAACTTATTAATCGCAGGAGTTTCCACGGTGCTGCCCCTTTCAAACGCTGCCAGGGTGTTTCAAAGGGGCAGTGCAGTAGAAGCCTGGAATCAGCTGGAGTCCCCAGCTGACCGCAGGCAGTGCTGTTCCTTTGTAATGCTGCCACTGCATTTCTAAGGGACAGCACCTAGGGTCAGTTGTGCAATTCTGCCCCTTTGAAGAGCCGCCCTGGCATTTCAAAGGGGCAGCACAACACAGCCAGGGATCAGCTGGGGACTCCAGCTGATCCCAGGTTCCCACAGTACTGCTGCTTTGAAACGCCGAGGTGGTGATGTTTCCTAGAGGCAGTGCTGCACGGAGCCAGGGTCAGCTGAGGATTCCAGCTGATCCCGGGCTCCCACAGCACCAGCGCTGCCCCTTTGAAACTTGGGGGCCCCCTTTGAAAGGGGCAGTGCTGCACCCAGCCAGAGTCAGCTGAGGAATCCAGCTGATCCCAGGCTCCCACAGCGTTGCCCCTTTGAAATGCTGCCCCAGCCCTAACCCACAGTGGAACAGTTTCAATAGGAGATGGTGAAGAAGCCCCACATCAGGATATAAAATGACAGGAGTTGGAGCCGTGGTGGGCAGTCTGCAGCCGATGTGCCATAGAACCATCCATTTCTATGTGTGGACCACGAGATTTTTGGTTTACCATTGCCCCTGCACAGGGTTGCCAAATTCCCCTGGTTTCTGTCCACATCGTTTTTTCCCTACCCATATTACAGGCAGTCCCCGAGTTACGCGGATCCGACTTATGTCGGATCCGCAGTTAGGAACGGGGATTTTCTCGCCCCGGAGGACTGGAGTGGCGGGACGCCTGGTCCCGCCACCCGCCTCCTCCGGGGCGAGAAAAGCTGCTCCCAGTCTCCCTGGTCTGCTGGGGGAGCCAGCAGACCCGGGAGGCGGGGCATTGGGCTACAGAGTGAGGATGACTCTGTAGTCCAATAGTTAGGACAGGTGGTGAGAGATTCCAAGGCCAGGCCTGGCCCCCTGCTCCAATCACTGTTTCATTATTGATTTGCCACAGGGCTGTCAATTAATGTGTGTTAACACCTGTGTTTAATGCAGAGCACAATTAACACTTAATTTTTTGTAACTTATTAATCGCAGGAGTTTCCACGGTGCTGCCCCTTTCAAACGCTGCCAGGGTGTTTCAAAGGGGCAGTGCAGTAGAAGCCTGGAATCAGCTGGAGTCCCCAGCTGACCGCAGGCAGTGCTGTTCCTTTGTAATGCTGCCACTGCATTTCTAAGGGACAGCACCTAGGGTCAGTTGTGCAATTCTGCCCCTTTGAAGAGCCGCCCTGGCATTTCAAAGGGGCAGCACAACACAGCCAGGGATCAGCTGGGGACTCCAGCTGATCCCAGGTTCCCACAGTACTGCTGCTTTGAAACGCCGAGGTGGTGATGTTTCCTAGAGGCAGTGCTGCACGGAGCCAGGGTCAGCTGAGGATTCCAGCTGATCCCGGGCTCCCACAGCACCAGCGCTGCCCCTTTGAAACTTGGGGGCCCCCTTTGAAAGGGGCAGTGCTGCACCCAGCCAGAGTCAGCTGAGGAATCCAGCTGATCCCAGGCTCCCACAGCGTTGCCCCTTTGAAATGCTGCCCCAGCCCTAACCCACAGTGGAACAGTTTCAATAGGAGATGGTGAAGAAGCCCCACATCAGGATATAAAATGACAGGAGTTGGAGCCGTGGTGGGCAGTCTGCAGCCGATGTGCCATAGAACCATCCATTTCTATGTGTGGACCACGAGATTTTTGGTTTACCATTGCCCCTGCACAGGGTTGCCAAATTCCCCTGGTTTCTGTCCACATCGTTTTTTCCCTACCCATATTACAGGCAGTCCCCGAGTTACGCGGATCCGACTTATGTCGGATCCGCAGTTAGGAACGGGGATTTTCTCGCCCCGGAGGACTCGAGCGGCGGGATGCCTGGTATCAGTTTCAGCAGCAGCTGACTTGGGGACGCCTGGGGTTCTTAAGTTGAATCTGTATGTAAGTCAGAACTGGTGTCCAGATTCAGCCGCTGTTGAAACTGATCAGTTTCAGCAGTGGCTGAATCTGGATGCCAGTTCCGACTTACATACAGATTCAACTTAAGAACAGACCTACAGTCCCTATCTTGTACGTAACCCGGGGACTGCCTGTACTAAAATGACACACACAAAAGCAAGGACACCTTAAGTGAGGTGAGTGCTGATTGCACCTAACATTGAGTGAGAGTGCCATGCGCTCCTTCTGCCAATCAAAGTTCTGTTATAGGTTCAAGTGGCACATCCTGCATATTCTAGGTACGCAAGCACAGTTAGCAAAACAACCCAATCCTCTGAGACCATCTCAGTTATGACAATCTTGAGGTCCATTTAGTAGGGATGCTCTTGCGGTCTATTCACTAGATTGCCCTGTTGCTGGGTTAGAGCACTTTATTGAGGTGTGTGGCAGACCTCTTTTCAAATCCTTTCTCCTCTTCTGTCAGAAAGAAAGGGATTTGATGCTGGGTCTTTCATACCCGAGGCGAGTGCTTAACCACTTGAGTAAAAATTAGACAAAGTTAAAAGTGCCACTTTCTCTTCCTTGTCTGGATTTTGAATGGGATTCAAACCAGTAGGTATGCTGGGAAACTGCCTACCTGACAAAGACCTACACATGACTTATGTTACAGAATGCCTGTCTTCTCCCAGATTGTGAATTGTTCTGGGGCTTAGGTGAGAGATTAGGAGACTGTTATCTACAGGAGAGTAGCAATGCTCACCCACCAGTGTCTAAAACATAGCTACCTTGTAAATTTAGGTGCCTACAGGTTTAGGTAGCAGCCAAGTGGGACTTTCATGGATTGTAATGGTGTTGTGTATGGGGAGTCTGAAGGGCTGCAGACAGTCTCCATGGGCCCCTGGGCAAGGTGGGGGACAGATCCTGTGCTCCTGAAAGGGCAGGGTCTCAGATGGAAGGGTGGGGCTGGGGCAAAGAACCTTCTGCACCACCTGAAGCACAGTACCTCCCCAGACTTCAGAGCCGCACAGTGTGCTGCGTTCCAACTGCAATTTAAAGGGCCCAGGGTTCTAACTGACACGGCTGTTGCAGTAGTTGGAGGCCCCAGGCCCATTTGAATCACTGCCCTTCCTCCAGCAATTGCCTCCTTTGTGTCCCCCCATCAGTGGGCCTGGGAGTTAAGCACCTAAATTGCTTCATGGATCAGAAATGTGAGTATGCTTGCGAACACAAGCCACCCCGTTCATGTCAATGAGCCTACTTTAAATGCAGGTTATGTTGTGTATTTTAACACTTTACCTAAAATTCAGCGCTGGGCCTAAAATCATATTCAAATTAACTTTGAAAAACATTATTAGTAACTATTTTATTATTCAGGTAATTTTGAAGCAGTCATATCCAGCTTATTTTAATGATTTAGTTAGGGCAGTTTAGTGAGATGATGTATCAAATTATGTACTAAAATCAAAATAATTCAGTCATTTTTTCCCCTGGTGTTTCTCTTTTGTCTTCATTGTTTCCAAAGAACTCATCACTGTAGCCAGAGCGATGACCAGGAGATGTCACTATTTTGCTATAAGAGTGAAGTTTTCATTTATCACTTTTCACTCTTAACAAGGGAAAAAAGTGTGAGAACATTTTTGCTATAAAAGTTAAGTGCAGGGATTGCATAATAGGACAAAAATTATTTATGATTTTATCATTATTGAAGGTAAACAGCACACTTTAAAAAGTAAATGAACAGTAACATCCTAAAGCAGAAACATGGTATGTATGCAGACTTGAAAAGAAGAAATAAAGTCCAAATTCAAGTTCTACATGTTATCAGCACAGCATTGGATACACAGTTCAACCATTCTTGTGGGGGTTCTCAAACTTCATTTCACTGGGACCCACTTCTGATAACAAAAATTATTACCTGAACCCAGGAAGGGGAGGCAAGGAACAGAAGCCTGAACCTGCCCAAACCCCACTGCCCCAGGTGAAGGGTTGTGTGTGGGGGTGGGGGAAGCAAAGCCAAATGACCACCACCCTTAGAGGAGAGGCTTAAGCCTGAGGGCTTCAATCTCAGGTAAGGGGTCTGTAATGTGAACCTCAGTGTCCAGGGCTGAAGTTCCCAGGCTTCGGTTTCTCCAAACAGTGAGGCCCAGGCTTTGGCTTTGGGCCCCAGGAAGTCTAAGCTAGCCCCAGCGACCCCATTAAAATGAGGTCCCATCCGACAGTTTGAGAACAGCTGCATGACTGGACTGAAATATTAAAGAACAACTAATCAACCAGTCCCTCTGCCCCCCCAAAAAATCCCCATATAATTTGAAGCTCGTTTGAGAGGTTCATTCTGTCCTTGATGTGTAGGCATAAGTTATCCTTCTTGTCAATGTGAGTTAAAGGCAAGCATGAAAAATTAGATAAGGGAATTCACATAATTTAAAATATCATTATAGCAGAATTATTTCCCAAGTGGAAACATTCTCTTTTGCAATGAAAATATTAATGGAAAGAGAAAACAACTAATGTATATTATATAACAAAGTAATAGTAAAGAAATAATAGCTTAAACAAAAACAACCAAAAATAGAATTCTTTTCTGGTTTTTAACTCCTTTTGCCATGTTAACCACAGCAACTACTGAATAAAAAGCAAACAAGATGGGGTCTGTCAAGATTAACTGTTAAAATGGTTAATTTAAGCAATGAAGAGAGTATTTTCAGTTAAATTTACTACACATATGAGCAGTTATATTAGCTAGCATAAAAACAGGCAACCAATTCTCCTTTTCAGGGCATAAGATGAATATCATCTTAGGTCAGCAAGAAAATGACCTGCTTCCCCTATGGTACTACAGCATACTACTGTACGGCTTGCAAGACCAAGCATATTTTTCTTCTTCACCTTCCTATGAAGTTTCCAGCACAAACAACTGTCACAAATAGGGTTGCCAGGTGTCCGGTATTGCAGCTTCTGTCCAGTTCTGTTTTTTCTTTGATGGAAAGCCGCTTGGGACATTCTTCCCCAGGGGAGCATGGGGATTTAAAGGTGCAGCAACTCTTTTTTTGTGCGTGAGGTTTTTTGTTGCTCAACAACTTTGGCCTTTGTGTGTTTTTTTTTTTGCTCAACCAATTTTATTCTCACCATGTTTGGTATTTTTTGTGAAACTATCTGGCAACCCTAGTCAGAAACAAGATATAAAATTAGATCAGTGGTAGGAAATTTGCAGCTCGCATGTGGCTCATAGGGCTTCTACGTGTGGCCTGCAAAACTTTTTTTTTACCGTTTTTTTTACCGTTGCCCAGGCTAAGGTTGCTAGTTTCCACTGGTTTCCATCTGCATAATGTTTTTCCTACTGGAAACTAATGTAACATGCACGTAAAGCAAGTCAGTGTGCTGACTGCGCACAGCATTGACCGAGAGAGTGGTGCACTCCCTCTGCATCCAGTCAAAGTGCTGCTACAGTTCAGTTGGCACACTCTGCAAATTCCAAAGTGTAGCTGTTCAGGTAGCAATGCTAGAATCATAGCTGATTAGGGTTGGAAAAGACCTCTGGAAGTCATCTAATCCAACCCCCTGATCCAAACAGGACTACCCAACTAAAGTGTTCCAGCCAAGGCTTTCTTAAGCCTGGCTTTAAAAACCTCTAAGGAGATTCCGCAACCCATTCCAGTGCTCCACCACCCTCTGAATGCAGTACTTCAGTTGTGGCCTCACCAGTGCTGAATGGAGGAAAATAATCACTTCCCTCAATCTGCTACAATGTTTCTACTAATAAAGCCCAGTATGATGTTAACCTTCTTGGCAATAAGGGCACACTGTTGACTCATATCCTGCTTCTCGTCTACTATAATCCCCAGGTCCTTTTCTGCATAACTGCTGCATAACAGACAAGGTCAGCTCTCAGGGTACGTCTAGACTACATGCCTCTGTCGCCAGAGGCATGTAGATTAGGCTACCAGACATAGGAAAATGAAGCGGTGATTTAAATAATCGCCGCTTCATTTAAATTTACATGGCTGTTTGTCGGCTCAGCACGATAGTCTGGACGCGCGGGTGTCGACATCAAAGGGATTTGTCGACCACCCAGGTATGCCTCCTGACCTCGAGAGGTCATCAAGTCCAGTCCCCTACCCTCATGGCAGGACCTAGTACTGTCTAGACCATATTATTATTGCATTGAATTTAAGAATCTAATTTCAAAATTATTCTACAGAAATAACTTAATTGTTATCTACAAGACTGCAACAGCACATTTTATTGAATGTAGTTCATTTACTTACACACTTTAATTTAGGGAGGTTGTGGAATCTCCATCTCTGGAGATATTTAAGAGTAGGTTAGACAAATGTCTATCAGGGATGGCTTAGACAGTACTAGGTCCTGCCATGAGGGTAGGGGACTGGACTCGATGACCTCTCGAGGTCCCTTCCAGTCCATTCTATGATTTTATGAAGACTAGATTGTTCAATACTCATTCCACAAAACCACATGGCCATCCTCCATCTATATACATTGATAGTAATTAAAGCAGCCTCAAGATAGTCTGTGGTAAATCTGAAGCACTTAGCCTAAAACGCTTTTCCTGCAAACCATTCCACACAGTTGGACCTTTGCACCTCTGCAGAGACAACTGACTTCAATGTGGGTCTTCCTGCACGGAGCTGCTTGCAAGTTAGTAGTCTAAAGGCCTGCCTGCTGTGGAGAAGTTCACAGAATCAGATCCTTTGGCTATGTCTAGAGTACGGGTTTTTTCCGGAATACTAGAGGTATCCCAGAAAAACTCTGCTGCATCCAGAGAACATGTCTGCTCTTCTGCTTTTTTGTGTGTGGAAGAGCAGATGCACTCCTTTAGAATCCCTATCTTCCTCTTCCCACAAAGAAGAAGGGCTCTTCCAAAAGAGGAGGATTTTCCAAAATTTGGCCCAGTGTAAATGGGCCAAATTTCAGAAAGGCCTCTTCTGAAAAAACTATCGGAGAAAGGTATGCAAATTGCAGAGCCCATTTTTGCGTACCTTTTTCTGATAAGTCATTGTAGTCTAGACATAGCCTTTATGTACAATATTTCTTCAGCTGTGAATGTAAATGTGGAATGTTGGGTGTATTGGGTTAGCTGCTTCATGACTTTTTGATTCTTAAATAGTTTTCATCATATTTCATAGAATATAAATTATAATTAGTGATAAGAAACAGTAGCAGTTATATTTTTATATATACTCCTGTATTTATTTTTATATCCCCTTGATTTGTTCTAGTTGATTTACTGGGAAAAATAGTATTTAAGATATCACACCAAACGAGGAGGATGGAAATGATTAATAAGTACTGTACTTGCTAATTTGTTATTAATGCATATTGACTCATGATTGCATCAGCACAAAAGCCTTGGAGGGGGTTAGGCAAGATTCGGCCTGTGGTCCGCCCTGCTGAGGCCCCCAAAGCTGTTCAAAATGGCTAGCGGCTCCCCTTTGCCGGGGTGCACAGCACTTCGAGGGAGCCACCAGTTATTTTGAACAGTGAGGTGCGCCCCTGGTAGGAAGGCCAGGAGGCAAGAGACTTCACATGCTCTTCCACTCCCAGTTCCTGATTGGCTTTGGGGCAGGGGAGTATGTGAAGTCACCTCTTCCCCTCTTCCCTGCCAGGGGCACGCGGTGCCTAGAGGGAGTCTCTGGCTCTTCAGAACAGTTGGCGGTTCCCTCTGGGCACTGCATGACCCTGGTGAGGGGCGAGAGAGTTCACATGCTCCCCAGCTGTGATGATTAGCTTGGGGGCAAGGGAGCATGCGAAGTCTCTTGCCTTGTAGGGACATGGGGCCCTGAGCAGAACATGGAGGGAACCTCCTTGAGAAGCCTGGGGTTGCTGCAGGAGGAAGCCTGCCTTGGGGACCTTGTTGAGCTGCTGGCTGGGAGCTGCCTAAGGTAAGTGACTCCTGGCCAGAGCCTGCCTCCAGCACCCCAGCCCCTCCTACTTCTCAACTCCCTGCCCCAGGTCACTGTTGTGTATTGGGTTGTCGTAGATATAGATCTTGTTGTTATAGTAACTGAGTTAGGTCAATAAGGGTCAGCCCAGACTCTTTGGGCTTCACTCCGGTCAGAACAAAGCAGACCCCTGGTTTTAGTTTCAGTTTGCACTATCAGTGTAAACAGTCTCACCCCCTTCTTCCAGAAGAGCAGAAAGGTTTGTTTTCTTTCATTGACTTCTACTTCTTCTGTTGCTGGAGGCAAGC